TCACAGTTACAACAATTTTATATTAAAATTTACTAAACGGTTTTGAAACTACGTTTATACTAACAACACTTGTTTACCAAACATGAAACTGCTTGATTTTACAATTGATTATTTTCAAAATACAGTAAAAGCTACTTTTTTTAAAAATAACATCAATCCCAAATTGGCCCTTAATACCCTATGCTTTGGTCAAACCAATATGAAGGCCTTTTTCCCACTAGTTTTGGCACCCAAGTCTTTTACTTTGTACTTGTACATGAAGGCTTGGAAGTTGGACAGCAACTTCGGCTTTGGTTTCACTAAAAAAAATGATCGGACCTCAGCTGCACGAGTTGACCGGAGGAAGTCCTGATATATCATGAGCGAAGCATTGCCCACAAGTTGAGTTGGGTTTTTGTGTTTTTTGGTAGAATTCACTGATCGTGATGGCTCGTAATGTGGTAGTTGGATTACAAGTCACAAGTGAGTATTTCAAATGGGTCAAAAATAAAAACGGGTGGGTATTTCAAACAGGTCTAATTTGTTAAAGATTTTGAGTTGTTGGATTTATCCTACGGCTGAGGTGAAGTTGGTCTTTACAGGTCCTCATCTTTGGTCTTTGGGTGAACGACACTATTTAATAAGAATGCCAAACATGCTGTAACTTTGTTTATGGTGAACTGAGAGTTGAATACGACGTCGTCGTCTAAGGCGCCAAGCCAACACACAAGAAGACCCGCTGCAAACCTTTCCGCATTATCTGATATCTGAAAAGGAATGGCTTCGCCTTTGCCTTCGTCTCTCCATCGGCTCTCACTCCTCTCCAAACCTTCACCACCTCAAAACCACCGCCTCCTTGTAACCCCGACCCGACCCGAACTTTCCCGGTTCGAATGCCGGGCGGGCCAGACCGGGTTCTTCACCCGGCTCGGAAGGCTTATCAAGGAGAAGGCCAAGAGCGACGTAGAGAAGCTCTTCTCGGGATTCTCCAAGACTCGCGATAATCTCGCTGTCATCGATGAGCTCTTGCTCTACTGGAATCTCGCTGACACTGATCGAGTCCTCGACGAACTCGAAGAGGTTTTTCTTCTCTCCCTGTTTGTTTCTCGAGAAAAAAGAAATGCTTTCGTGATTATTTCTGTTGTTTTCGGTTTCAGGCTCTGCTGGTATCGGATTTTGGTCCAAAAATCACAATTAAGATTGTGGAAAGTTTGAGGGAGGACATAGTTGCTGGGAAGCTGAAATCTGGAAGCGAAATAAAGGTAATGTTAACAATTGAAAAGCCTCTTATGTTCATAGCAACATTGGCAACATTTAAACCTTAGTTTTTTTTTAAAATTTTTATGATTTTAGGCTCCAAAATTACCCAACTTTGCCCCATATTACATAATTAGGTAAATAAAACAAACTTGAGTGGAGGGTCCTGAATTTTCTGATAAATCAAATTGAGTGCTCGTTAGTTGATTTGTATGTGCATGAAATTTAATGTGGCGGTACTGAATTGGGTTGTTTGTAGGAAGCATTGAAGAAGAGTGTGCTGGACTTGTTAACTACAAAAGGGAGCAAAACTGAACTTCAACTTGGTTACAGGTACCGATCTTTTCCGAGTTTTAGAATTGTTGTCAATTTCTTTTTGATATTATGTTCAATGTTGGAGTTTTTGTTGTGTTATCAGGAAACCAGCTGTGGTTATGATTGTTGGCGTTAATGGAGGTGGGAAGACAACATCTCTTGGTAAGAGACCTTTTGATATCCAACCCATTTAATCTGACAGCATGCATTCTTGGGGGAATTTTACTGGAAATGAACTCAACTTTAAGTTTAAGGCAATTTTAAGCAAAATTCATAGTGACGTTTCCATTATATAAATCCAGCATTACAGTATTTTCTTTTAATATACTTTTTAACTATTGTCATGCTGCGGTATAATGGTTAAGGACCCGTAAATCTGATGATGATCTGATAAACTATCCTCATGCAGGAAAGCTGGCTTACAGATTGAAGAAGGAAGGGGCCAAGGTGAGAATTTGTCATCTGTTCATTGTCAGTGCAGCACTGGATTGGTTTGAAGCATATGAGAAGGACTGGTTAGATCCAAGAAAAGCGTACCTATTTCATGGCTTTTCTGGTCTAAATTGCATTGTGGTTTGAAATTGTGCCAGGTGTTGATGGCAGCAGGGGATACATTTCGAGCAGCTGCCTGTGACCAGCTGGAGATATGGGCTGAGAGGACGGGGTGTGAGATTGTTGTGGCTGAAAAAGAGAAGGCTAAAGCAGCATCAGGTAGAGAACTTAAATGGAAGAGATGGATGAACTCATATTTGCTTTCCTTTTCTAGTTTTGTTTTGTCTATAAGAATTTAATTGACATGGTATAACTACTGACATATAGTCTTAAAGTGCTTTCTGAATAGTTATTTCTCAGGCTGTGAAGAGAGGGAAAGAACAAGGTTATGATATTGTCTTATGTGACACCTCTGGACGTAAGTTTGTTGGCAAACCTTCCAGGCTTAGCTGTTAACATTGTGAGCTTAGCTGATTAATTGCAGTTGGACCTTTTGTTTATAATTTTAGGTCTGCACACTAACTACAGCTTGATGGAAGAGTTGATTGCATGTAAGAAAGCTGTGAGCAAAGTCATTCCAGGCGCTCCTAATGTAAGCTGTTGGACACTTTTTGTGATCTTTCTATTATCAAATTCAACAATCTTGGCATGGGAATGCACACTTCCCATTGAACAGAATAATTCTGAGTAGACTATGTTCTCTAATAATGTCACGCTCTCAAGCCTTTTGGTTGGTGGTGATACTTGACTGTATACTTTATGAAAGGATCATATCTTTAGAGAGCATAAAGTTGGGAACTTATGTGCCTGGTACATGCCACATGCTTCACTGTTATCTTCTCATATATCTTCATTACTTCTATGCATTAAATCTAGACTTCCATATTTCAAATACTCCATTTTATGTTATTCGTGACATGATATATTTGTAAATCAGTCTATTCATGCCTGCCACTACCATATATTCATATTATCATTGAAGATTGCAAAGAGGAGCTTAAAATCTTTAGCTCTCTCTCTCTCTCTTTGATCATGTTAGTTGAGATATTTAGTAACTCTTCCAAATTCTTACATTTTGTCTTGTGAGACCATGTTTTGTATATGTGCCTAATATTTTTCTTTTAAAAATATGCAGGAGATCCTACAAGTTCTGGATGGGACAACGGGTTTAAACATGCTTCCGCAAGCAAGAGAATTCAATGAGGTAATGTTCTTATCCTTCACCTCCTGGATTATTCTACTTTTGTCAGAACATAGATTATTGATTGATTCTATTTCTTTGTGCAATTTGTTTCTCCACAATAAATTTGTTAGTGTGTTGATTCTTTACATTATAAATATTGTGACAGATTGTTGGGATAACTGGTTTGATATTGACAAAACTTGATGGCTCTGCTAGAGGTGGCTGCGTGGTAGGTTCAAGTCTTCTGTCCCATATAATTTTCAATTTATTCATGAATTGATATATTGGCATAGCTTCTGCTATTCCAAGACTTGATTCTCAAACCTTCTTCTTTTCTTTTCAAATAATTAACTAATCCTAAGATTGTATCTTATTTTATTTTAGGTCAGTGTGGTAAATGAACTTGGCATCCCTGTAAAGTTTGTGGGTGTTGGTGAAGGTGTAGAAGACCTCCAACCCTTTGATGCAGAGGCCTTTGTTAATGCCATATTTTCGTAACCCTAAAGGATGGTGAGTGTCACATCAATTGACTGTGTTCTTCTGATCCCAGATGTTAGTGGTTTTTATCAGATGCTTTTCTCTCCCTGCAGAGAATTACATAATCCCCTAAATCTGTGTATGCTGGCGGCGGGTCCTTGTCCAGCCATATAAGCAACTATTTAATTTGATTGGGGAAAATGAGGTCAGGATGAAACTTCACACGTCGAACCACACGTTTAGTCTTCAGATGATCGGGATATTACTGGCATACTGCTCATATCGCAATTTTACTTTCTGGTATCATATTGCTGTTGTTAGATGAAACTCGACTAGAATTTATGCAAAGTTATGAAGCCTTAAGCTGCAGGGCAGTTGCTGCTGTATAGGATTGAAGCTTGGTTCTAACCCTTCATACGGCACTGATAGAGAGACAATTTCAACTCCAATTGATTAATTGAACGGATTCTTCTTGTCCTCTTAATTTTTTTTCAGGGAAAAACTTATCGAAGTCTCCAACACATGCATTTGAGTGTAATATCCCTGTATCTTTGCTTCTCTCCAATGGCTTGATTTAGTGTAAGTTATTTCGCTGGCAACAAGTTTAGGGTTTCTACTTGGGTACCTCATTTCCTATATTCAATAATAATTGTGTTATAGAATAGTTCTTAATCTCCAGATTCATACTTTGGCAACGGGCATGTGATAGAAGGTTAGCACAAGCAGTGTAAGCCAACTTCCCAGTTTTCGTGAGTTTGAATTTGAACTCAATTGTTATCGCAGTGAGATTGCAAAGACGAGAAAAATAAAATAAAAAGATAAATAATGTGGCCAATTGTAATGTAAACTATATACAATAAAGTTTGTAAACCAAGCAGTAACAGAAATTATTCAGAATTTACAACCCAAACTTTTAAGGGCCAACAACATCCATCCTCTCAACTCTCTCCGCCTTAGTCTCGCTCATATCCTCTTCTCACTCTCAGATGATCAGATCTCACCGGGCTTTCATCAAAGGTAAGAAATCTATGATTGAATTGATGGCTTGCTCTGCACTTGAATTAAAAGTGTATCAACATTTCTCTCGTCTCATAGAGAACACAATGGAAATCATGTCACCACCGACAAGCGTGTGATATGTCGTTTCCCTTGCTAAATGCATGTTTGAGCAATGAGTTTGAAGTTGCCAGCCACAATTACTCCTCCATTATTTATTTTCATTAAAATTCCTACATTTATACTTAATTTGTTATGTTATGCTTTGTTTGTTGTCTAGATGTTAAAAAGGTCAAGGAACTTTTCTCTGATGACATGACGATGATGTTGTGGAAGTTGATGAGACGGGGATAGATGGGCCATGGCCTGAAAACAATGAGGTTTCGAAAGGCAACCGATCAACAACAATATTACCCAAAACTAGTTCGCAAACTATGATAAGCGAACTTCAAACTAGGACTGGTTTTGACTCATGCTAGTGGAGCGGGTTGGAATCCAACTTTAGGAACTATTACACTAGAAGATGATGCATGGAAAAGCCTTTCTAAGGTATGAATAACTTTACATTTTATATTGAAATACTCAAATTTTGATATATAATTTTAATTTTTTTATATTTGTTGTAATTTGTCCTAAAAGATTCAAAAAGAAAGGTTGCCCCCACTATCAGAAGTTGATTAAAATCTTTGGGGATACAACAACAACTGGAAAACATGCTCATCCCTCAACCAAACCTTCCTCAGATTCAGCAACTGGAAAACATGCGTTGTCTTCTATGATTCAAGTGTTTTCTGAGACATCAAAGAAGAGGAATGAAATACTTGAGAAAAGATTTGTTGGCTCTTCTAAATCGCATGGTAATGATGAGGTTCAATCAACTGTAAGGGATGCTGCGAAAAAAGAATTGATGGAATGTTTGGAAATTTTGAATAACATGGAGGATATTGATGGTGAAAGTGTTACTTGGAGAAGCATGTTTTTGCGTATGCCTGATAGGAGAAAGAAAGAGTTTATCTATAGCCTTTGATTTGGATGTTATTTTGTGCTTGCTTTGTTATTAGTAACATATTACAAAAATGCTATTTTTCGTAATATTTATATTTATCTTATTTCATAGCAGATGTTGTTATGGACTATCCTTTCTTGCCTTTTAAATTGTTCTTATGTTAAAAAATACAAAAATAACAACAAAAAAGCGAAAATGAAATAAAGAAAACTGAAGTCATTTACCAAACAACTTGAGTTCAATTTTTAGTATTCCAAAAAAGTTAAGTTTTCAGTTTTTAAAAAAATGAAAAATGGAAAATGAAAACTGAAATGGTTATCGAGCCTTTAAACTTTTCAAACCGCCGTCAATATGGAATGGAAGTAAAGCTCATCACCAATTAAGGGTATCCAACTATTCCATTTGAATGTATTACATATTCGTACGTGCAATTATTTTCTAATTAAGTCCCCAGTTTTCTTGAGCTTGAACTCTAGTGCTATCACACTCAGATTTCTTCCACTTCGCACAACAGATGCATCAACTATCACCTCTGCCTGTAAGCAAGTCCCATTGCAAAGTCAAAAAAACAATAAATGAATAATGTGAACCAAGCAAATTATATACAATCCAGGGTGTAAACTATGTACTACTCCAAATCATTCGGATTAAAACACTGGGAAAAGTATATATATTTCTTTTCTGATGTCATGGTCGATGCCGAATTGCCATTTAGCTTATCCCACCTTAATATGAAACTTCAGCCTGGACACTACATGAAAAATTCCTAACCGATATTTAATGACAAATTGAATATCTGTTTAATTTCTGGACATATTTGTCAAAGTCTGAAAGCATTGTAAAAAAGAGCTTTTGGGGTTCAAAACTACTACCAGCCTAATTCACTCGAGGATTATAAGGCTTCCAAAATATACTGCAACGTTCAGAAACTAAGCTCAGCCTGTATGTTACATATTTTGGCCAATTTCAGTTTGTATCAAATTCTGTGGTAAAGCAATTCCATACTGGCATCTTAAGAAAATGGTTTCAAAGAAAAGCGAACAATCTCTTTTTTGATTAGTAATAAAGTTTATTAACAAGAAGAGGAAATGACCCAAGTACATGAAGTATACATCTTGTGTGCAAGAGGCAAGAAAAGCAGACCTTTGCGCACAGAGAGGTACAAATCCCTCATAAGTGCCATCACCTAAAGCGGAAGATACAATCAGAGTCCACAAATTACAAATTTTAAGTGCCAACAAAATCCTAAATCCTAAGTTTTTTCTTTAGTCATTCAATATCGTTCAGAATGCCTTAGAATACTATTCAATGTCCAAAGAAGACATCTAAACAATCTTTAGTACAGTTTATGGGGATTGATATCATTTTATTCAATATATTTGTTTTCATTTGCATCAAACTTGATAAAACAACAATTAAAGGAGACAAGTCTAATTCTGAAGGACTCACATTCTTTTTTGCGCTGGCGAGGTAAGAGATGCTAGTTCCCCTAGAAAAATCTCCTTATCCTTAGCCGCGACTGTTCTAGCACAAGCTAGATTCAAATTCGAGACATCCCATCTTTGAATCCCTAAAGAAAAAATCAAAAATTTGACCCAAAAAAAGAAGATAAATTGAAGGGAATGAGGAAAGGGAAGCACCTTGTGGGCATAAGAGTGACCAGATTAGGTGACATGTTCCTGAAAGTTTTGATACAAGACTTGAGGAAAGTGGTTGGAGGAGAGAGAGGGACCATTTTGTCCTTTTCCTATTTGCTGAGTTTGACAATAAATTAATGGGCCTTTGTTGCGGCTACCGCCTCTAAATATTGATAGGTCGTTTGGGCTTGTTTAGGAGACAAAAACGAACTTTCATTACATAAATATAGGGAAATAGAAAATTGCCCAGGAAATACATTAACAATAAACGGTCTATCTTCTTTTTGTTCTCTATTTTTTTAATATATAGCGGGACCCACGATTGCTGCTTAGACTGGTACGCGGCGGTCGTGGAGGCGGCGAAACAGAGAAGGGAGTTGAGTCACAAGAGCCAACAGTTTGGGGGCGAAAACCAGCAGGGTGAGCAGCAAGAAGCACAAAAGGAGAGGCAGCCAGGTCCAGGAGGAGGGTGGAGACAAGACAAGGCTCAAGAGTGAAGCGAGTGAGAGTGAGCCAGACGCAATGGACCAATTGCGAGGGCGCAGTACGTCAGCATGGGGAGTGCCCCTGAGGAGCAGCTCGAGGCTGAAAGCCAAGGAATAGGTAATGACACTAGACAGCATGAGCAGCATGAGTATAGGGTTTGTCTGGAAGAGATCTTGGTCTGGAAATCGCACCTGTACCAGCGTCATGGCTGTGGGAATGGTGAAGCCAAAAATGCAATGGTGGATCATAGGGTTGGTTTGTTGTGCTGGAAAAATGGTATAAGAAAAATGGTATGTTGCCATGTTGAAGCGGAGAAATTTTCTTTGGGTGGGTGTGTCAAGATTCAAAGCAAAGGGCGCTATTTAATGGCTGATGTTGTGGACTTTTGCAGGGATGTGGGGCCGTGGACCAACGATTAGTGCAATGCAAAAGGAACGCTAGGAGACAAAGAACAAGAACGAAAGGAGACAGAGTACGCAATGCAACTTAGGAGGACAAGGTACATGGCTCTTAGGATGATGACATGGCTTTAGGAGGAGGTACTTTGATGACATGGCTCTTTGATGACATGGCTCCAAGCTCCATGGATTTACTTCGACACCGAGGCTTTCCATGCTTACTTTTGCTGTATCTGGTGAAGTCACTATTTAATTATGTGATTAAACTATTTAAGCATTGCAAATACGCTCGTCCCTCAACCAAACCACCCTCAGATTCAGCAACTGGAAAACATGTGTTGTCTTCTATGATTCAAGTGTTTTCTAAGACATCAAAGAAGAGGAATGAAATAGTTGAGAAAAGATTTGTTGGCTCTTCTAAATCGCATGGTAATGATGAGGTTCAATCAACTGTAAGGGATGTTGCGAAAGAAGAACTGTTGGAATGTTTTGAAATTTTGAATAACATGGAGGATATTGATGGTGAAAGTGTTACTTGGAGAAGCATGTTTTTGCGTATGCCTGATAGGAGAAAGAAAGAGTTTATCTATAGCCTTTGATTTGGATGTTATTTTGTGCTTGCTTTGTTATTAGTAACATATTACAAAAATGCTATTTTTCGTAATATTTATATTTATCTTATTTCATAGCAGATGTTGTTATGGACTATCCTTTCTTGCCTTTTAGATTGTGTGGGGGTCCAAAAATACAAAAATAACAACAAAAAAGCGAAAATGAAATAAAGAAAACTGAAGTCATTTACCAAACAACTTGAGTTCAATTTTTAGTATTCCAAAAAAGTTAAGTTTTCAGTTTTTAAAAAAATGAAAAATGGAAAATGAAAACTGAAATGGTTATCGAGCCTTTAAACTTTTCAAACCGCCGTCAATATGGAATGGAAGTAAAGCTCATCACCAATTAAGGGTATCCAACTATTCCATTTGAATGTATTACATATTCGTACGTGCAATTATTTTCTAATTAAGTCCCCAGTTTTCTTGAGCTTGAACTCTAGTGCTATCACACTCAGATTTCTTCCACTTCGCACAACAGATGCATCAACTATCACCTCTGCCTGTAAGCAAGTCCCATTGCAAAGTCAAAAAAACAATAAATGAATAATGTGAACCAAGCAAATTATATACAATCCAGGGTGTAAACTATGTACTACTCCAAATCATTCGGATTAAAACACTGGGAAAAGTATATATATTTCTTTTCTGATGTCATGGTCGATGCCGAATTGCCATTTAAAATTTGGAAAAAAAATCAGATTTTAAAATCAGACCCTCCCTTTCTCTCTCCTCACTCTCTCTTCTTCCTCGCGACATCTCCCCCCCCTCTGGTTTTCCAGCCGACATCACCCCTCCTCCCAGCCACCACCAGCGACGCCGGCCAGCCCAGATCAGACTGGCGACTCCCCAGCCTCCTTGCTCGACGTCCTCCCCCGCCGCCTGCCGCCACGAATCGCTGGAGAGAACCAGAAAATCGCGGCAGATTTTCTCCGATTTTCAAATCCCTCAAACTCCCTCCTCCGGCCACCAAATCGGACGAATTAGGTATGGTTTTTCGACTGATTTTCATGCTCTAGCTGATGGTTGGGTAGGATTGGAGAGATT